ATTACCATAACCTGAATCAAGTGGTGACTCAAATTGCAGCTGTGGTGGCAGATGTGCTTTCCATGCTAGAGCTGATGAATGCATCTCCTGGTACTTGGTATGCAGCTACTGATTTGACAAATACCTTATTCCCTGTACCTAGTCATAAGGACCACCACAATGTCTTCAAAGTTGTGTTTTTATAAAAATAGCTATATAATACTATGATTAACTATCTTAAGCCTGATGATGTGGACAAGTCTACTGAAAATAAGAGAAAGCATAGTAACTACGGTAGATCACCTAATATTGTGGTCTTATGTGTCTTTTTCATTGCATGTTTTTCTAGGAATTTGTTTTGCTGTCTTGCTATGATCTGTTTTTCCTATAATACAGAGAAGATAGATATACATGTAGAAATTCACACATGGGAAGACTTTTTAAAACTATTTACGAGAATATTATATAATGCATGATGTAATGAACAGATATACTCTGAAGAAGAAGAGACACTAAGAAATCCAATGCTAATTCTGTAACATTATGATATAAAATCTAGCAATACTATTATTCACTGTTCAGAGTGATATTAGTCTAATATCTTAAGTTCAACTTCAGCATATGTCCTTACAGACAGCTACTACAAAGAGAATGAGAGACATTCTGGTAGTCATTATTGACTTCCCCAGTGTCAGGTCTTGAAGACCTAAAAAGCCTTCATCATCCTGTAATGATTTGATTAGTTCTATAATATGCAGTATGTATTCAATGTGTGTAAAGATGAGGACAACTATTTGGAAGAAAACTAGGGACAATAAGATAGACAGTGAAGATCTCCAGTGGACTTGCTTTGAAATCTGTGTTTCTTTAACTTGTTTATGAACTGTTTTGTTCCGTTTTGATATGTTTAATCTTACCCTCTTTAAGATAAAAAACAAGTGTGTAGGACTGACAACCATATTACTAAGTTTTTGTTGGATCATTGAGCAGAACTGTTGGCAGTGTCACTATTTGAATGTCACTTTGTATGCTTTAATTTTGTAACCTGAACAACTGTTTCTAAGATGACAATATGTAACTTAACAACTAGTGATTTCTTACTGTTTACTTTTCTAAAATTCTGTATTATTTCTACCCTTTTTTTTCTTTTCCTGTTTTTTTTATTTAAAGAGAAAAAAACTATAAACAAACAAACAATTTGCTGGTAAGGCCAACGATATATACTTTTACTGCCTTACCTCAGGGGTGAGTTAACCTGCCAGCCCTGTCATAACTTAGTTCTCACAGATCTTGATCACCTTTCTCTCCCACATAGTATTACACGGGTCCTTTACACTGATGATGTTATGCTGCTTGTGCCTAGTGAGCAGGAGGTAGTAACCACTTTGGATTTGTTACAGCATTTGAGAGTCAGAGGATGGGAAATAAATCCAACAAAAATTCAAGGTCCTTCTACCTCAGTCAAGTTTCTAGGAGTCCAGTGGTGTGGCGCATGTAGAGATATTCCTTCTAAGGTAAAAGATAAGTTGCTGCATCTGGCTTCCCCTACAACCTAAAAAAAGGCACAATGCCTAGGCGGGGAGGCTATTTGGATTTTGGAAGCAACAAACACATTCCTCACTTAGGTGTCTTGCACCAGCTTATTTACCCAGTGACTCAGAAAGCTGCTCGTTTTGTGTGGGGCCCAGAACAAGAAAAGTCTTTTAATAGGTCTAGGCCACTGTGCAGGTTGTTCTCCCACCAGAATATATGTTTCAGAAGATCTAAAGGTACTTCAAGTGTCAGTAGCAGGTAGAGATACTGTGTGAAGACTCTAGTGGGCTCCCACAGGAGAACTGCAGTGGAGGCCTTTAGGATTTTGGAGCAAGGCTCTGCTGTCTGTCATCTGTAGACAACTACTCTCCCTTAGAAAAATGGCTTTTGGCCTGCTACTGGGTCTTAGTGAAAACTGAACACTTGACCATGAGACACCAGGTCACCATGTGACCTGAGTTGCCTATTATGGCCTGGGTATTATCTGATCCACCAAGGTGTAAGGTTGGACGGGCACACCAACAGCATCATTAAATGGAAGTAGTATATTTGTGATGGAGTCAGGGCAGGTCCAGAGAGTACAAGTAAATTACATGAGGAGGTTGCCCAGATATCTATGCCTGTTTTCCAACTTGCACCATGTAGGGTATACCATGTGATCAGCTGTTAGAGGAAGAGAAGGCTAGAGCCTGGTTTACAGATGGTTCTGCACGTTCTGCACGTGCAGGTACCAACGGCAAGTGGACAGCTGTAGCATTATGTCCCATTTCTGGGACATCCTGAAGGACACTGAAGTAAATTGTCACCATAGGCTAAACTTCTGGCAGTGCACTTGACAGTACATTTTCTCTGACAGAAAAAAATGGCCAACCTGTGACTGTATAATGATTCTCACAGGCTGTAGTCATAGGTTTGGAAGTCTAGTCAGGAGCTTGGAAAGAACATAACTGGAAAATTGGTGACAAAGATATTTGGAGAAGAGGTATGTGGGTAGACCTTTCCATGTGGAGAGAGGATATAAAAATGTTTCCCATGTAAACCTTACCAAGAGGTGGTATCGGCAGAAAGGATTTTAATAAAGTAGATAAGATGATCTGTTCTGTGGATAGTGGCCAACCTTCTTCTTCAACCACCTCTGTCATTGCCCAATGGGTCCATGAACAGGGTGGCCAGGGGGCAGGGATGGAGGTTATGCTTGGATTCAGCAACATGGACTCCCACTCACCAAGGCTGATCTGGCAACAGTCACTGCTGAATGCCCAACATGCCAGCAGCAGAGGCCAACAATGAGTCCCCTATATGGCACCATTTTCCAAAGTGATCGACCTATGATCTGGTGGCAGGTGGATTATACTGGATCACTTCCCTCTTCCCTTATGGAAGGGACTGTGCTTTGTCCTCACTGGCATAAACATTTATGCTGGATATGGATTTGCCTTCACTGCATGTAAACTACCAAAACTACCCATGGACTGGTAGAATGCCTTATTCACTGTCATGGAATTCTACGTAGCATTACTTCTTTTTTTTTTTTTTTTTTTTTGTCTTTTTCATTTTTATCGGTACCGGGGATCGAACTCACGACCGCCTGCTTCCAAGGCAGGTGCTTATGCCGCTGAGCTAAATCCCCAGCCCCGTAGCATTACTTCTGAAAAGGAACACATTTTGTAGTCAAAGAAGTGAGACAGTGGGCTCATGCTCACGGAATTCATGGTCTTACCATGCTCCTCACCATCCAGAAGTGGCTGAATTGATACAAAGGTAGAATAGTCTTGAAGACACAGAGCAACAGCTAGGGGGCAATAGCTTATAGAGCTGGGGCAGGGTACTTTGAAAGGTTGTACATGCTTTGAATCAGTGTCCACTACATGGCACTGTGTCTCCACAGCCAGGATTCATGGGTCCAGGAATCAAGAGTGGAAGTAGAATAGTACCACTCACCATTACCCCTAGTGATCCACTAGCAAAGTTTTTGCTTCCTGTTCCCACGACCTTATGTTCTGCTGGCTTAGCAGTCTTAGTTCCAAAGAAGGGGAAGGCTTATACCAGGAAGCACAATAATGATACCACTGAACTGGAAGCTAAGACTTTCCCCTGCTCATTTTGGTCTCCTTAAGCCTTTGAGGAAACGAACTAAAAAAGGAGTCACAATGTTGTCAGGGGTGACTGATCCAGACTGTCAAGGGGAAATTGGACTACTACTCCACAATGGAGGAAAGGAAGAATATACATGGAATGTGGGAAATCCCTTAGGGCACCTCTTAGTATTATCATGTCCTGTTATTAAAGCCAATGAGAGAAGCCAGGGATACAGCTCAGGGGCACAGCACCTGCCTGGCAAGCACAAGGTCCTGAGTTTGATTCCTCATTCCAATAAATAAATAAAGTCAATGAGAAACTACAAAAACCTAGCATAGGCAGAAAGACAAATGGCCCAGAGCCTTTGGGAATGAAAGTATGGGTCACTCCACCAAGGAAAGAACCATGACCTGCTAAGGTGCTTGCTGAAGGCCAAGAAAATACATAATCAGTAGTGGGAGAAAGTAGTTCTAAATACCAGCTACAACCCTATGATCAGCTACAGAAAAGAGAATAGTTCTAATGTAATATAATGTTGATAAACTTAATACTGGTTCTTAAGGATTGTTAAGCTGTGTTATAATATTCAAATTGTGAAATGATAAGAATAAGCATCACCAAAGGAAAACTTACCTTCTATTCTGGTGAATAGAAGGATCTGTTTTTGTTTGTATGCAGAATAGTTAGAACATGTTAGGCATAATTATAAGCATGTCTTTGTATGCAGAGACTGATTTAAAGAAATGTGTCTGGTTGCCAAGTTGACAAGGGGTGGATTGTAAAGACTGATACTCAGCAGTTCTACATCGTGGAGTGTGAAGGACATGTCCTTACTGCTCTAGGATCCTGTTCATTGTGTCAACTTGAGGAGTTTAGAGGTGATTTAGCAGAGGGCCAGGGTCCTCACTTGGTAAATACCCTGAGCCTGTACAACAGGAGGACAGGGAGATGGTGTGAGTGCTACACCCATTGGAAGGCAGAGAGCCAGCATACAATATAAAGGAGGAAAAGAGGCTTCTCTCCCCATTTTGCTCTTGTTGTTTTTTCTCTCTTCTGCCACCTTAAACTGTTGTCCCTGTTCTATGCTTTCCTGTCTTGGGGGCAGCTGATTAGGACTTAAACCTCTACAAACTGTGAGCTAAATAAAAACTTTTCCTCTCTTAATTTTGAGGGTCAGGTACTTTGTCTCAGCAATCAGAGAAAAGTAACCAACACACTTAGAAGGTTTAAGATCCTCAACAATTAAGAACAGAACTCAGTTCCTCTGATTTAGAAGGGACCAAAAACATTTCACCCAGTCTTGGGAAGGTTCCACCGGAAAGAAGGTATTTATACATACAAGACCAGGAAGATTAGTGATGAATACACGGTACACAGTGTAGACTCCAGAGAATTCATTCAGTGCTCACCTTTGCAATTAATGTCAGCCATTACTTCCTTCCTCTCCATGCTTTCTATCAGCTGCCTCACTTCTTCAGCATTGCCGTTTCTGGCATGATGGAGCAGCTGTTGTTCTGCTTGTGTGTTCATGTCTAGATTAAAAACAACAACAACACCACTGCTATTATCTAAGAACATAGTTAGCTGTTAGAGAGTATTTCACAATAAAAAAGAGAGGGTCAGGGATACAGCTCAGTGGCACAGTGTCTGTCTGGTAAGCACAACGTCGTGAGTTTGATTCCCGGCACCATAATAACAGTAATAATGAGAAAATCATTTCCATTTTATGACTGAGACGCACAACGGGTTGTAATGGAGGGCCAGAACTCTACCCTGAGACTCCTTGCTTTTTGCCGTACTACTGAAGAATGTTAGATATTTAGGTAAGTTTCTTAATTTCTCAAAGCCTTAGTTCTCAAATGCAAAATACAGTATAACCAATCTCCTAAGCTGCTACCACGATATGGAGGTACTCTGTCAAACAGATGGCATTACCCAAAGGTTTATTACTACTACAACACTAACAACTGCCATAAAGTTAAAATGTGACCAGTCAATACCTGTTGCAACCTTACTGGTTCACGGAGTTTTGCCCCACCTCACACCTACCTTGCGACTTCCCATTGGATCAGTGTTAACCTAGGCCACTATACTTGTAATCCTATCAGTTAACTATAGTTTTGTCCCACTTGAACCTGCCTCACCTCATGACTTTGCTCAATACAACACATGTGAGAAGCAGGTAGGGCAACCCACTTTCGGGTCCCCTTTTGTCTTAGACAGAAGCTGTCTTTCTGTCAATAAATTCATCCTACTCTTCAAAAACAAATGGTCAGAGTTGAACACTGCAATGAGTTGGATGTAGTGGCATACCCTTGTAATCCCCGCACATCTCTGCAACCACAGCCCACCCCTAAAACCCCAGTACTGGGGTGGCTGAGGCAGGAAGATCCCACAAATTCAAGGTCAACCTTAACACTGGGTACACACTGAGTTCAAGGTCACCTTGAACTACATAATGACACCCTGGAAGGGGAGGAAGAGGAACGTGGTGGGGGAAGGGAAGGGGAAAAGGGGAGGGGGAGGGGAGGAGAAACATTGTAACACTAACGTATATAAAACTTTGCAGAAGAAAGTATTGATCAGGATCTTGGAGTAACTGTAAACATTTCTTACATTTTCTTACCAAGACACAAGCTAAATATAATGTAGCCAAATTTAAAACATTTATAACCAAATGGGCAAACATATGCACAGTAACTCCCAGAAGAAACACAAATTTCATTCTTACTGATAATTAAACGCAAATAAACTGAAACCAATGTTTTTTTTTTTTGCCATCTAGATAGATAGCAAAGGTTAAATAAAAAAGATTAAATCTATCCAATGCTGGCATGAACACCTCTAAACTGCTAATACAAATTGAATGTATGCAGTATTTCATATGTTACATGGGGAAAAGCAAGAATTTGGCAATGTCAAATAAAATCCACATACATGTACTTTGGGCAACTACTTCTACAAATCTACATATAGAAACACAAAGATTATTTTATAAGCATGTTTATAAGGATTGCATTACCTCCAGTACTGGAAAAGTCAAAAATAACTCCGTCATCAATAGGGACTGGTCAAATCTTCTCGAGAAGCTAAAAGTGGTGGCCTCTTAAGGTAGAGGATGGACAGCAACAATAGGAGCTCTCAAAAAATGGCCAAGCACAACAGCCCTCAGATGAGGCTGCTCCTGCACAGGGCCCACCTACCATCTGTCTTCAGTGACCTTTCTATCTGCCCATTTATCTCAGTGCCAATATCCAAAGACAATTAAATGTCTGAATAAAGCCTCTAAAACATGAGAGATCAACACCAAATGAGAAAAGCAACCTGGAGATGGCAAATTATTCAGAGAAAAGATTTTAAAATGAAAACCAATATACTAGAGACTAAGCAGTATATCATGTAAGAACTATAATAAAAACTATTAAAGTGAAACTGTACCAAATAAATTGCAGATTTAAAAAAATTTTTTAAAAAAAAGCTCAGTAGGAGAGTTGGAAAATAAGGTTGATAGTATGTCCTAAAAACTCAAGCTGTTAAGAAAACAGGAAAGAAAATAAGAATTAAAAGGATTGCTCTACGAAGTTAAGCATCCAAACAACAGAAGTTCTAGAAAAACAAAAATATAGAATCAGAAAAGGAGAAAATACATAATTCAAGAAAGCTTTACAGAACTGCAGGGACTACTGAGAACTCAACGTTTCTGAAAACTTTCTGGTCTATGGAGAAGAGACTCTACCAAAGCCTATCTGAACTTTGGAGACAGAAATAATTCTGCAAGCTTTCAGGAAAGAAAAAAGGGAGAAGGGAAAAAATCAGCTAATAAAGGAGCAGAAATCGGAATGTGTTGGACTTTACAACTGCAACATGAGCAGTTAAAAAAAGGCAATATCATGAAGTTCTAGAGAAAAAAGTATTTCCAACACCAAATTCAATAACAAATAGCCAATCAAAAGTATGAGTATAATGAAGCTTTTGTTTTCAGGTAGTGGAAGCTGAACCAGGGCCTCACATAGGCTAAGCACATGCTGGCTGACCCTGACCTACACTCCATGCCCAAATCCACTTTTAGACAAGCAATGACAAAAGTTTACTTCACATATATCATTTCTCAGGAAATTAAAGGAGGATACGGCTCAAAATTCGTAAGCCAAGAAAGAGGAAGACATGGGCTCCTAGAAACAGGAAGTCAGGAAAGGGAATCCCCAGAGTGAAAGGAAATCCCTGCAATTTAGCCATGCACCTCGCTTCTAGTACGTCTTCCCTACTTGGTCTGTCCAAACTCTGCTGACATACCTGCCCTCCAAGTCTGGCTTCCACCTGTATCCAGAAAACCGAGGTAGGCGTCTGAGCTCACAAGCCGGAAATGAAGAGCAGACTAATTCTCTGACAAATCCCTGGCAGGCAGAGGCCCAGACCTGCACCCTATTACAAGCCCCAACAAATAACCACCCTGGGTAAGGCCCAGTCTCAGCCTTTGCTCCAGGCCTTGTTCACCGACTTCCCCTTGCAGAGCTCTATAAACTCTCAGCGCAGACAAGCCCGCACTCTCCTACACACTTACACTTTCCTGAGAGACTACTCATAGCAGTGGCCAGAATGCCTTTCTTTACACAGCTTGCTAACAGAATCTTATATTAATCCACTCTGTAGTCACTTGCATACTACTAGAATAACACTTAACTGGTCCTTTTAAAACTTTCACAGTACTTGTATTAATTGTTGCATTATCTATAAGGCAAAAGAAAAAAACAAAACAAAAAAAACCAAAGGCCCATTAATAAAGATTTACTCACATAACTGGTAATGTCACATTATGAATAAAAATGAAGAATTTCTGAAACTACAGGATTGCAATACACTGCTAGATTAGATGGCTTCCATTTATAGTGTAGGTTACGGGTTGGCATATGATCTCCATATATGTCTTACATATCCAGAGAAAGTAGGGATGAGATCATCAGGATGACAGTGGGTCATGACACCTTGCAGTGAAATTACCAATGGTTTTAAGTGGTTTTTACCTTGATGGTGCTGGGGACTGAACCCTGCCCCTGCTTAGCAAGTGCTCTATAAGCCACATCCCTTAGCCCTAACCAGTCTTTTTTTGAACATTTTCTAAATTTCATACGATATGAAGGCATTTCTTAATAGTAGACATTATGAGTTACTGACGAATTTTTAAAATTTTAAACACCTAATGAAATGGGCATTTTATTACAGTGATTTTATGTTTTTAGCCAGTCAAGTACAGAGGACAAGGCACAGTGGTCTCGATTTGCTGGTACACTTCACTAAAGGATTTCATTTAGTTTTTTTAATGCTTTAAAGACACAGCAGACATCTTCTACAACATCATTTTTGGATCCTTTACCTAACAGGTAAAAAAAAAAATTAACATTCTTCAATTTCTGACAACAGGAAAATGATAAAAATAAATCTATCCTCTGAATGAGTCTCTGTTATGTAGTAACCATGACAGGTGCTCATAATTCCTGGAGCTGGGATTAAAATTTATTCAGCAAATGTTTCTTGGGTATCTACTATGACAAGGCCTACTGCTGGCAGGAGCGACAATGATGGGAATCCAGTCTCTGGCCTCCAGGAACAGGCCACACATGCAAACAATAACCACAAGATGTGTCGGGAAGCAATGTGTGAGCACAGCGGTCGCATGGAGGAGACACATAATTGGTAGCTCTCTGCCTGTATTAGTTATGGAGGGAACTACAGAGAGAGTGAAATTGAAATTGGTCCTTGAAGGAAAAGTAGTCTGCCAAGATCACAAAGGCGCATGAGATTTCTAGTCTGAACATTTGGTGGCAAACAAAGAGATTAACCAAGCTATGGGACACAAAGGACACACTGCTGATCCTAATGTAGACACACTGTTGATTCCTGTGGGAAGCGGAGATGCAAATATCCAGGAAGGATCAGCAGCTCAGAGCACCCTGAGCACAAGTGAGTTGCTGTAGGTTAGAATTTAAACAGTGGGGGAGCGGGCAGCTCGGTGGTTGAACACATGCTTGGTGTGTTCAAGGGCCAGTATTCAATCCCAGCATAAAAAAAAAAAATTAAATAGTGGGAGTCAGAGTTATCAGCATACAAAGTCATTAAAATCTTCGGGGTAAAAGAGGCCCCTTTTCTGAGGGAGAAGACTAACCTTTAAGGGCAAAGGCCAGTGAGGAACAGCTAGCAAAGAAAAGCCAAAGGTAGAGAAGAACACAGAGCAGTAGGCACAAGGGAGAAAGGGGTTTCCAAGAGGTAGGGTAGGTCAGCAATGCCAAAAAAGTGCAGAAAAGAGACCTGTCACTGTCTACAAATTAGGCAAATAGAAGGCCACTGATGGGGGGGGGGGCGCAAAAAACAGACTCTGGTGAACCAAGCAATGAGTGGGGGATAAAAAGGAGCATACTCAACTTTTATAAGCAGCCTCACTCTGAAGAGGGGAGGGCTGGGCTTACGGGTTGTCTGACTCTGGGGGATGCTCCTGGTCTGTAGAGTAGCAACCAGAGGGAAACCTTTAGCATACCAGCAAAAAGAGGAGCTGCACAGATTACCCATCACCACCCTCAGGGCTGGCATCAACTTCCCTGTCACTAGCATCACACAAGATGAACCTTGAAAGTTTATCACATTTCAGGTGTCACTCTGACCTCTGACCACACACTAGTGACTAGAACCAAAACAATTTTTGCTCTAACCTTATTCCTAGCTAGAGGTAAGTTCTCTGAAGGGAACACACACTTACATATGTGTGTGTAACACATGTGTGTACACAGACACAACTATGACATTTGTAAGAACTCAAATGCAGCTTCTGATTGTATTAGAAATCTGACAGTGGCAGACAGATTCATCATGAACCTAACACTGATTTGAGTGAATAGCTGAAAAGCACAGACCTTAAGTTACTTGCCAAATGTGTAAAAGCAGAGCCACAACCAGTACTGAACTTCCAATCAAGGGGAATAATAACTACGTATTTTGTAAAATTCAAATCAGTGTCTAAAATTAAAAGCCAATGATTCTAGTAACTGTTCCTCTGTGAACAACTGAGAAGCTGAATATGAATTATAGGGGCTTTGTTTTTATGCACAGTACTAGGAATTGAACCCAGAGCCTTGTGCTTGCTAGCAAGCACTCTACTATGAACAGCACTGCCTGCCTTTTTTCATTTTGAGACAAGGTCTCAGTAAGTTACACAGCTTGGCTTCAAAGCTGTGATCCTATCTCAGCCTCCTGCGTAACTGGGATTACAGGTGTGTGCCACACACCCAGCAGTTCAACTCATTTAAGACATTCAATAACTGAAAAGAAATACTCAAAACATGGCAATTTAAAAAAAAACAACAACAATTTTTAAGAGCTAATAAAGAAAAACATAACATCACTTCATTTTTAGTTGAGTGAAGCTGTCTCCACCAGCTTGCTCAGTAAGTGTGTCTCGGTGAAGAGCATTCTGCTGGGTATGGTAGTATGCACCTGCAATCTCAGCACTCAGGAGGCGGAGACTGGAGGATCACAAGTTTGAGGCCAGTCTGGCTACACAGTGAATTTAAAGCTACCCTAAGGCTACACAGTGAGATGTTGTCTCAAAAACAAAAAAACAATAGTAAAGGCATTCTTTTGGAGGAGAAATAACAGAGCTGTGATTATAGTGCCATGCAACAGTAGTTTATAAACCGTTTTAAAGAAACACTGTAAAATGTTTAAATTGTTCACTTTATATATGACACATTTACATTACCTTCTCTTATTCAAATCTATTCCATCTTCTCATAATAGCATGTCATGGAAACAGAGGCCAGCCCTATTCACCAGGTATTTATCATTTTACCTATACCCAATTGCAAAGTTAAATATTTGTTAAAAGCTGGTGAAAATTAAGCCTCCTGACTTTGCTTTATGAACTATTTAAACTCGGGTGCTAAAATTTTACTTGCTTTAAACAATCAAGAAGTAATCCTTAGTTGGGCGTGGCAGTGAGGCTGAAGCAGAAGGATGGCAAGTTCAAGGTCAGCCTGAGCATCTTATTGAGACCCTGTCCCAAAACGTAGGCGGGCTTAGGGAATGGCTTAGTCACAGAGAACCTGCTTAACAGGCAAGAGATGTTGGAGTCAATTCTCAGTTCAGGCAAACAAAAAACCCCCACCTGATCTGAAGATACATTTGATATGTGCATCCCTGATTTGAAGTTCAGCTTGACAGATTCTGAAAATATAAACTGTTTCAAAAGATCATGGCTATGCAGAAGGAAAGGCTCATAAATCCCCAAAAATAGAAAATGAAGTTTTAATAATAAAAATACTAACAGGTTGATGTAATGTTACATTTTAATAACTTTGATTTTTTTTTTTTTTTTTGACACACGGTTTCATTATGCAGTTCAGGTGGGCCTTACTTTGTAGCCCAGACTGGCTTTGGAATCCTAGCAGTCCTCCTGCCTCAGCCTCTAAAGCGCTGAGATTACAGGCATGTGCCACCATACCTGGCTTAATTCTTTGAATCTAAAATGAATTTTAAAAGTTTTGCATTTTATTTCACATTTGAAAATTATTCTGCAAAAGAAGTTATATTTAGGTTATAATGCCACAGTGACATTTCTCTTTAAAGGGAAAATTTTTCTTTTTGAGAAGGCGTGAGGTCTCGCTGATCTCCAGAAATCCTTGTGCCTCAGCCTCTCAAGGAACATGCCACCGAGTCCGGTTTTTAAAGGGAAACTTTAAACACCAAGTCCATATGTGGTCTACTTTCCATTGTCACATGATGGGAAAACATAGTTACGAACTGCTTTCACCGTACAGCAACTTCCTACTTGCTAGGCGAATGAATTAGAAAACTCAAAGTAAGTTACTTAGTATGTCCTCTTACTAACAGCATTAAAACAACTTCTTACACTTGCCCACCTCTAGACCTATAGCCACTTAACCCTGAGTTACTTAATACTGACAGTACGGAAACAGCACCCATGGGAGAAATAATGTAGGGAAACCCCAACATTTCTAGAGATTAAGATCATATAAAATACTTACATAAAACCAGGATCATAAATATACTCCGTAAAGAATGCACTGCTGTATCTTCTGAAGCTTTACTAATGCAATTTGGTTTAAACTGAGGTGCTACATTTACTAAAACCTGTATACTAACACCTGCAAAGAATTTACAGGTCATCAACAGTCTGCTATCAGACCCAGTTTAAAAGATTCCACAAGGTTCCAAAGCATTTCAAGTAACAGTGCACCTACTCTCTTACTCTCTTTGCCCCATAACTTGATGTGCTTATTACTTTATAGTAACTTTTTTCAGGGGGTACCATACTAGTTTTAAAATTTAGCTTCCAGTTATGTCAACAGGTAATCGCAGTGTTGCCACTGGAGTTCTGAGTAAAATACTCTTCTGCCTAAAAAATATTACGACCCAACGCAGAATTGTATCTCAGAGGAAATCTGTAATTCATTGAATAGACACTACCACGTTATCACTTAAGAGACTGGCCCTTTTCTTCCACTTACAGTAGTGGCTAGTTTTATAACAGTATCGATTCACTTTAAGGAAAAACTAAAAGAAGAGGATTTTTAAGGATAATTATCTACCCGTTCTATTCTAGAATAACACCTGCAAAAGCCAGCAGACTCCAGAGACAAACATTAGCCATCCACCACAAATTTCTGCTGATTCGCAAATGGTATCATCTGATGGAGGCCTTTCCTACACTGAAACACAACTATTTCAGATAAACTTACTCTGTGTGCGGCAATTAACTCTTATTTTGAATATCAGTTGTTCAAAGCTGGGGACGCCTTCCTCTGCCTGGGAGAGATACAATTTTTTAAACCAATGTTACTGATAATTTTCTCCCTATAGATGTTGGACAGAATACAGCCTACTAGGCTTAGAACTGGAGGATAAAACTAAATGCTGTATTTTGTAATTAAATTAAGATGTTTACAGTTCTGCTGAGGGAATTTAGAATTTATATGGATAACAATGCACGGGGGGAGGGTAACAAACAAAAAACCCTCACTAGTACCAGGGCTGGAAGGTGCACATTGCTAGCTCTGAAATCAACAAGCTGTTTCTCAAACGCTGAATAAAGAGATGCGACTGTTCGCAACATTACATCCAAAACGCATCTATTACACAACCGACTGAAGTTTTCAGTAAAATTATTACCGAGGTTAAAGCGGAGCTATTATTAACCATCTATAAAAGAGGAACAGCTAAGGCAAACGCTGTTTTCACAATAAGATTTCACAATACTGCCTGCTTAAAAAAAAAAAACAAAAAAACCTTGACACCCGAAAATAAAGCAGGACCAGGCTGGCAACGCTGCCAATCACAAAGGCCACGGGCAAACTGCTCCGAATCCCCTCCGATTTCTTTCAGGTTTGTTGAACCCAGCGCGCGGTACTTTGCAAAAGTAGTCACATGAACGACGCGTGACTCCGCCGCCACTCTGCCTTCCGAGGCTGAAGAAAACGTAAGACAAACTTGCAGAAGCCTGAGAAGTACCCGGCGGAAGGCTCGGGGGGCTGGGCAGGTAGCCCCCCGGGTCCCCACCCACCACGTTGCAGGGCCCCGACTGCAAGTGCAACAAACGCCACCAGCTCGTTACTTTCAGCAACTAACTTGGTGCAGCGCCGCGGCTGCAGGAGCCGCCCCGGGAAGCTGCTCGGGCCACGGTGCCCACGCCTCCGCCCGCCTCGGACCCCGGGCGAGACACTGACCTCCGCGGTCACCCGGGCTCCCCGAGCTCCTGCAGCGGGGACCACCACACGGCCGTGCTTCTCCCGCCCCACTCGCGGGGCGGCCGCGTCACCGACGCCCGCTGACGCTCCCGAGGACTCTCCGGGATCTCTCCGCGAGGTGACGCCGTCCCGCCCGCCCTGACAACGCGCGCGCGCCCCCGCCGAACTGTTGGCGTCCGGTCCGGCACATGACCGGCTCGCGGCCACGCCCCCGAGGCACTCCCACCAGTGGTCACGCCCCCGAGGCACGCCCACCAGATGCCACGCCCACGCCCCTGGTCCGCCGGCCTCAGGCCTGGGCGGAGGATTGCGGTACAGATTTGGCCACGCCTCTCCCAGCAACATTCTCCCCCCACCATCCCGGAGAATGAAGGGGCGCGCGCTTGCTGGGGGAGCTGCGCGGGCAGTGAGCCCCCCAAACCGAAGCAAAATACTGTATGAAGACTGGTATTACCTGTAAATTAATTATAAAACAACTACATCTCTCAGCTGCCGAACCTTTTTTTTTTTTTTTTGCTTTGGTTTCAACTTGACCTGTGGGAACTGAATTGACTGTATAAATTAGGCCTCCTTTCCCATGTCAAATGTCATACGAGTGTAAAGTGTGAGACAGATACTGTGTAAGGATTTACACAATGTCCTTCACTCGTTTCCCCCATTAAATCTTTCATAAAAAGCCCACGTTTTCCATCTGGATGTGCCTAGCCATGGTTAGCACATGAAGAAACTTGAAACATAATTACAACTTTTACTTTAAAAGTTTAATACATAAAGTTAAGGTTAAATTGTGAAAATATGAAAATGCTTTGTACATTTTAAAATTTTATAAATATATTTAATGCACATGTTAGAAAATGTATGGAGAAACTCATAAACCAGTTGGTCCATGCACTACCTGTGATGTGGCAGATGTTTAAAAATGATAGGCGTGGGAAACACAAGCACCCTTGGCTTGGGTGTTATAGGCTGGCATCATCTTTTATTAAGAAAACACCACAACATTTCAACTACAAAAAAGTGTGGTAAGGCAGTCATTTGTTTCAGAAGAAACCTCAGGAGTTGTTTTCTAAAGATAATGAACCCTTTCATAGCTGAAATGAAAATTGGCTATTGAAATAATTTTCCACATGATTTCATTAAAGTGTTTAGTATCACTGTGATGATTTAATTGCCTAGATTCATGACTCTCTTTGCAACTCCCTTCTTCAGTTTGTAAATAAAATGTAATCCCTAGCCAACAAAGATAAAGAATTAATGATTACAAATATCAATAAGAGAATGATCCGTCTTGGTAGGAGTACTGTATTTATTGGACTTTTCTTGGTACTTACCTAAAGAGTATTTAGTAGAAAACATCTCCTGAGCATTATTATTAACTACCACAGGTTAAAAAAAAAACTCACACTGATAGCATAATATTCATTATTTTAGAAAATTGCTGCCATTTGAAACTCTGCAATGAGGAAATGTTCTCTATTTCTTGTCCACACAGGTGCCACTATCTATAGTCCAGCACTTGAAATGCAGCTTGTGTAATGGAAGTTTTGAGGGTTTTATTAACTTAAACTAAAATAGCCACACATGACTAGCAGTTACCATATTGGACAGTACAATTCTAGAATTACAAAGCAATCACTATTTTGTCCCCAATCACACCACACTCTACTTTCTAAGCAGAAATCAAACTTCTAGAACTACTTAATAAGCATTGCCCTATATACACAACCTTTGTATGAGACAAGTAGACATTTTAATTTTGCAGGTGAAGCACATGAAAGTAACTATAATCCCTATCTACAATGTATGCAAGTAAAAATAGAATGCAAGCTCTGGATGGATCGATTTGATAGTAACCAACACTTGGCCCTGCCCCTCCTACACTTGCCTGAGCAAAACTGAAGTTAACTGGGTGTGATGGATTGATAGCTGGTAGGCACTGTATGACACCCAGCTGAACTGAATCAGTATGGTGCTGAGTGTGGATGGCCCACCTGAGGATTGTTGCCAACAACACAAAAAGGAGAACTGGAGAGGAAGAAGTGGTATAACTGGTTCTCCTGTAGCCAAGGGTTCTCCTGGAGGAGCTTGTTAAGCTTCTGTCCTGATATGAACTCAGCTGTTATCATCAGAGGAGCCCAGGACTTCATTGTTGCTGAGAAGGGCTGTGGTTCACCTTGAGGGAAGCTCTGAGCCTTACATTGAGATCACTTCCTGGCTTAAAAGGGGAAAATGGTGCTGTTCAAGCTCCAGGAGAAGCTCATCTTGCTGGCGCCCTGATATGAACTCAGCTGTTCTCATGTTGGAGGAGATAGGGACCTCATTGTCATTGAGAATGGCTGTGGTACATTTTGGAGGAGTTTTGGTTCTTACTTTGAGTGTCACTTTCTGGCTCCAATGCAGATCCCTCAGCCTGCTGGCACAGCTCCTTCATCCCACTGGCACAGACTTCCTAGCTTCCAGGGCAGATCCATGAAATGACTTGCATGAGACATTGCCATCGAATCCAGGTCTGCAGCTGGATTCTTTGGGTCTTTAGTGTGTGGACAGATTTCCTGCATATTTTTGTTTTTGACTCTTGGGGTGACTATCATAAAATAATCCTATAAATTATGTGGCCTATATTAAATTGTTTTCCTTGCAAACCTCTGACTACACTAGTTAACTTTAGGTCAGGCTAGATTTCATTAGAATTACCACTGCCAGGTTCGGACAGGATTCACATTGGGATTCTTTTATCTTAAGACCCTTAGGCACTCATACCTCTCCACCACCATTTCCTCCTCAGATTCCACCAATTCATCTAGAAATTTGAGTTCCTCAAATCACAGTATCTAATGTCTGTGTCCCCACAGTTTTTTCTTAAGCCCAAAACACCGCCAGAATGCACTTTGTGTGTTGTGTGTTTTAAAAATATTTGCCTGAAAAAAAATATTTACCTGGTGCCAACATGACTTTGAAGTCCTACAGGAGCAGGATAAAGACTTGTTAAGTATTATTAAAAGGAAGATTTTATGAACTGAGGTTTTGGAGATGGTTTTAGGTAATTACTGCCTGGAATGCTGAAAAGTAGGCCAGATGTCAACAGTTAAATCCAGATTAATTGTTGAATTGAGGGAGATTAACCATTCTTCTTTTAAATTAACCATTCTTATACCTACATATCAAATACATTGTAGATTTTATTAACTCCAAAGCATCAAAGCTATGAAGTCATTGGGGGTTTTCCTCTTTTAAAAGCTGCCCAAATTATTTTCATGTGTGGCATTACCCAAAGTTTATTTAAAAGCCAAGTGAGTTGGGGTATTTCAGTAATTCTTTTGATGAGAATTGTCATTCTCGCCATTCTTTTGATGAGACTTGTATACCAGTCTCTTTTCCTAAGGTTGTGACACATGAATGATTGATTTTGCTGGTTCCTGACGCAACATATTTAGAAAGGACCCTCATGACTAGAATTTCCTGGTTCCAAGCAGTGAACACTTACACTGGCTAACATAAACCAAGAGGGATTTCGCGGCAAAGAAACGGTTGGAATTCTGGCCTGGTGAAGACTGAACTATGGCACTTCTGGGGATCTGCGCAGAGGGAAAAGTCTAAATTTCTTCCAAGATGCTGCTGTTGGGGAAAAAAATCCAATTATCTTTTCCCTTTCTTTTATTCAGAAAATACAAAGCTGAAGAAAAGAGAGTCTTTCCTAGCTGTTCCTTTATGGCATGGGCTCCCTGGACAGAATTTCCAGCTCCAACTTTAGTGCTCATCAGGAGTATACCTTTATTTTTTACCCATAGAATCTAGTGAAGCAGTGTCCCTGACAGTTACACTTATCCCTTCTTGAAAACCTCAGAATGTCTGCCCTGTTAAGTACCACTTGTGAGGGCTTCCTTACATGGCCCACTAGTATTGGCTCAGCAGGTGGCGCATGACCAGACCTAATTAAATGACACCTTTCTGATAGGCTTACTCAAGGTCTGATAAACCTGCACTGCCCAACAGCAAAGTTCTGTGTTGAGTAGCAGTGAATCATCTAGATTTCTCCCTTGGGTATACTTGACTGCAAGGCAGAGTACAGTTCATATCTGGGATAGATATAAAAAGGCATGCAGGGGGAAGTGAAAGTACAGAGATAGCAGAGGCCCTGGGATGACAGGAATGAGAGCAGGAAAAATGTGACCAGGGGTTGCAGAAGCAAGAGCAGAGAGACTACATGCCAGACTGAAACCCCAGAGTGTACAGACCCTAGGGCAGGATGATGTGCCCTCCTGAAGGAGGTATAATGTGACTACAGCTACATCTTAAACTCCTTTCCAGGGAAGCATAGACATCTTTTACTTATCTGGGTGGCTGCAGTAAATTTCTACACTTTACCTGAGTGTTTTTCTATTCCTTAAGCCCAGAAATAGCCTGAAATACCATGCTGTCTAGCTTTTGAATCCTGTCAATACTTCCTCTCTTTTCAGTAATCACCTTTCTTCAGGGTCTCTCCTGCTCTCTGCTCTTTGTGGCATCTAAGATACATCACTTTTCCAGACCTCTGCTAATCCCAACCATTGATTTCTTACTTACCTTTCAGCACCTGATACAATCAGGTCAAAGTACTCTTGTTTTTGTTTTGTTTCTCGGTACTGCAGACTGAACCCAGGGCCTGCACCATCCTGAATCTTTTTTTAAGACAGAGATCCACTACACTGCTAATTGGTCAGAGCTGGGCTCGAATTTGTAATCCTCCTACATGAGCCTGGCAAAGTATAGTACTAGAATTATAGACACGTGCCGCCACACTGGCCCAAGAGGTTCACTCTGGATAAGTTACCATAAAATGCAATTTTACTCCATTCACTGGAGTCACAAAGAGGCAAGGGAGAGGATTTGATGGGTGAGTGTTTGGGCCTGAATTGGAAGTATGGCAAATCATGAATTTGTAGATCTTCGATTTGGAAACATCAAACACAAGAAATCTTCTCATCCAACCACAAACCGGAAGCCTCAGATTGTCCTCAACTACATTCTGAAGAGGCAGTCTACCAGTCTGAGGCTGGGGACTTTCCAGACTGGCAGGTCAGTACTTCACAATACAGCACCAGAACCCCAACAGTGTTACTGTTAGAATTTTCTCTCACTATGGCAAATGCTAGCTCCATGTAATT